GCAACTAGGTGTGGTTTGCACCTCCTTCTGTGATCATCAGTTGAAGAACGGGGGAACCAGAACTTGGGCGCACCCAGAAGGGGAAGGGACCACCCCTAATGAAATCCAGGGAAACGAAGATGCTGCATTCGCCGCCGAATTGGCAACCATTCTCAGTGAAAACGGAAGATTGTTTGCCATTGAAAGTAGTGCGCCTTCGGGCAGATATCCAAAACTTTGGGACCTGCCTTGCATGAAGAAATTACGCCAGCAGACAGGCGCCCGAATCGTCCCGATGGCCATGTGCCTTGGCCCGCCGGCAGGTGGAGATGCCGAGTACCACAGGAAGAAATCTGTGTGGCTCGTTTCCCCTGAGCTCTATCCTTGGGCATTGCTCTTCCTAGCACGGGCTTGCCCTGGGGTAAGCGCCAAACACATGCACGCTCCACTCAAGGGCAGCAGCCCCATTCCCGGCGTGCCCCTAACTCGGGTTGCCCAACAGTATGCCCCAGCCCTGTCTGCAGCCTGGGGACTCACGGTGAAAGCGGCTTTCCAGGAATGGCATTGGGAGAAATACCTCCAAGAGCGTTCCGCTCTTCACGCCCTGGAGGTCTGCTGGCAAGACCTTCAATGCCCCGCCTGGCCCTCAGACGGTGCAAAGAGTGTTGAACGTTCCCTTGGTACGGCCTCCACCTTGATTTCGATGCCCAAACCGTCACACTACCGGAGCCCAAAAGGATCAAGGCGAAATACCTGCTCCGCGAGCGTGCCTGCAGAGGGGACGCACCGAGGTCCCCGTCAAGGTGCTCCGGGAACTAGCGGGCTCTGCCCAGTACTGGGCTGTGTCCTCGCCAGAGATATCCCCTTATCTACCCATCCTGTATCGACTGTTGCAGCAAGAGCCAGGTGACCACCGGTTGGTCCAACCGAGAGGCAGCGCTGAGGATTTGAGACTTGTGTGGGAGGAGTTCTGGGATGCCCTCGACTGGATCAGACTTCAAATGGAAAAACCATGGGGGGCCAGTTTTGGGTTGCTTTTGGGAAACTGCTCCCGATCCGGGAGAGGCTGGCTCTTCCAGGCATGGCAAGGTCAACCAGGTTTGTCGGCGGTGATGCCACACTAGACCGACTGGATGCAGCGGACTGGAAAGCCCTGAAGTACCACTCAGAACCGTGCCAGAGATATGTAGCGGCTATCGAAGAAGTGGTAGGACCAGGAGATAACCTGGGAATTATAGCAGTGTTGGAGCTGTTGACTTTCGTTGCGCTAGCTTCGGCCCAATCGGCTACATGGAGGAATGAAATGATCCTGTACGTGACGGACAACGCCAATGTGAAATCATGGCCCTACTGCTCCTTCTCCAAAGACTCGAGGCGGAATTCAGCTTCACAGTAGAAGGAGTTTACGTAAGAACCTATCACAATACGCTCAACGACTGGCTCACCCGGGAAGATCAGACCCAAGTCGAGCAAGCCATGGCCCGATCCGGGTGGGAGAAGCTTGCCCTGCTCGAGAACTGGGAAGAGCTCTTGCGCTCCGCACAGAGACCATCGCTCCGATTACCAGGGGAAATTGGGGACAGTGCTAATCTCGCCGCACAGCTTGCAACAGGCACATCGGTGCCCCGTTCGTTCGAGGTGCCAGCACACAGCGGCAGTTTTGTGGGGACCCTAGCACAAGTGAAGGTCGCTCCGACCATCTTGGCCTCATTCGAGGTTGCATGGGCCAGGGGCGGGGGGTCAGTCACCAGTGAAGATCAGGCTGAATGGCTAACTTGTTCTCTCAGCCACGACCCAAGAGGAGCTGAGATCTCACGGTTAATCGAAGTCTTGCAGGGCAGAAGGAAAAATCCTCCCAGAGGTGTCATGCTTGACTGTCCGGGGGACTCCCACCTTCAGTTTCCTGAAGAGCTCATCACCGAACTGGGGAGCTTTATGACAGCACACTACCAGACCACCCATTTGGGATCGTTCGCGGCAAGAAAACGGGTCGTGTGTTGGTGGGGTGAAGCCAAACCAGTTGAAGGGGAAGTCGAGACGATGCGAATCCGGTATGTCAACGCCTGCTGGTTGCTGCCCCTGAAGCCCTTCAATCAGGCCCCCAATTTACTCCAACCCCCAGAATTTGTCTTCACTCGAGATCCCAACATCGTGACCACTGGGGACCCCTGGCTCCCTAAACCAGTAGGACACCTTCTTGAGAAGTCCACCGGGGAGAGACACCTGGTGCATAGCCACCGAGGACCAGCATGTGGGCCCAGGCTCCGGGGGCACCCCTTAAAGGTTCCAGGGGGAACACTGCTAGAAGATGGATCCGGGAATGTGAGACCGCTCCTCCCCGAAGAACTTTGGGAAATGCAAGGTGGGGAAGCTTCTGTTTGGAACGACACGCCTCCATCAGGTCGTTCCGACCTTGTGCAAGCCATGGTACGGGAGCCTGGCTGGCAGGCAGCTTTCCGCTTGCTCCAAGCGACGCATCGCGGGGAGGGAGCACGAGCAGGGGTCTATGACCCTGATGAGATGCAAGCTCCTGAAAGCCTGGGGTAGAAACCCCAAGAGACCATCGAATGAGTTGGCACTGGTCTCCTGGAAAATCAAAGAACCTATGTGCCCCCCCACTCATGCTGGTTCCTCTTGGAAAGCCGGTGCCCCCAAGAAAGGAAAAGCTAAAAAACCCTACCTGACTCCTACTCACGAGCTGGTTGCCCCAGCCAAAAACCGACAAGAAGAAGCGGAGCACCCCCCAAAGGGAACTGTGGGCATCGAGGCGCTAGCTAAGCTAGCTGACTCCACCAGGAGAGTCTATGCCTCTGGATGGAAGCAGTGGGTCCTTTTCAATAGTGGGGCTAAGTCACCATTGTTCCTCACGGGAGAGGAGCGTTCCGCTCGGTATGAAGATGAGCAGAGACTGATCAGGTTCGTGGTTTTCCTCAACCAAATCATGGGACGCTCCATAGGAGGCATCCGACAAAGGCTTTCAGCCATCCGTTATGCCCACATCACTGCCGGCTACCCCGACCCACTCTCAGGGAAACCCCGGCTGTGGTCTGCCGTAGCCGGACTGCAGAGGTGGGAAGGGGCCCCAACCAGAAAGCTCCACCCCAACCATGCTCAGGTGGTTGAGCCAGCACATCAACGAATGAGTCTAACCGTGCCAGACCAAGCCATGGTTAGAGGGGCCCTGTTGACTGGGTGGTGGGGATGGATCAGACCCGCTAGATCGGGCGATCCGCCCAGCCGATGTTGCCTTCTACAAGGGGGGTCAAGCCTGTTTGGGTACGGTAGCAGATGAGGTAGTGATCCAAGTCAGGTCCTCCAAGACAGACCAGTTCGGTCGTGGGCAGGCTCGTTCACACCACCGCTCCGGTGGAGACCTGTGCCCGGTCGAGGCTTTGGCCACATTGCAAGCACTACAACCTCATCGTTGGAGAGGTGCGGAGCTTGAAAAGCCGCTGTTTCGGTACGCTGACCGATCCGGCCTCGACCGCGAAGGGATAGCCCATCTAATTAAGGTGGCAGCGCTGGCTGCGGGATACCTGGGGGAACTTGCAGGGTCTCATTCACTCCGCAAAGGGGGGGCCACGGCTTTCTTCGCATCTACCGGGGATCTTGAGAGGTTGAAGAGATACCGGGGTTGGACCTCTGATGCCGTTCATGCATACTTATATGAGGACCACACAGCCCAAATAGGCATCTCCCAAGGCATGATAGGCAGCAACGTCATTACCTTGCCTAGTCAGAAAGCTCAAGCCGCCGATCGCCCACCGGTTGGAAACCACCAAGATCGGTCCGATCTCAATCGTAGGACTCTAGGCTCGAGATCTTTGTCTTGGGCCCCAGACCGACGGGTATCCTTCTGCGAACGTGCTGGAAGCTGCATCATGGAAGCAGCCCCAGTTAGCAAGCTGGAGGAATCACACCTCTTCTTCAGGCACAACCCGGATCTAGACCTGCATCGACTCCTCGGAGTCAGGCGAGGGGCCAGCACGCCCGAAGTGCTCAAGGCGTTCCGAATGAAAGCAAGATCGTACCATCCAGATAAGCTCAGCCACTTGCCAACAGAGGAGCAGGAGGAGAAATCCGAAGAGTTCAGGAGGATGTCAACCGCTAGAGACCTCTGGGCTGTGGTACTGACTCAAGTGCAACACAGCCACGACAAAAGGAGTCGCATTGCATGCGCTTCGCATTCTGTTCAGCAGCTTGAGTTTAGCTAACTGATGAGTCATCCCATTGATTGCAGGCCGGCCCTGCCGACGACGTGGTTTTGATTGAAAATTCATGTGCCATTGTTATGTTGGATCCTATCTCAACAATAATGTGGGCCAGGAATTTGCCCGAGACCCAATGTGAGCGGCCAAATGCAAAGAATCGTTCCACGGATTCTCTCACTCCGCTGAAGCAAAACACCTGCCCTTAGGCGAGCTCCTTGCTCGAGGGGCTCCCTAAATGCCGTCGTGGTTCTAGGCTTTAGCCCGGCCCGTGGCCTATTCGCACATCCGGTGGCCGCCGGTATACAAATGGCCATGCAGACCAGCCCTCGCTGCGGAAAAACATTTATGCGACGCTTGTTGCCTAGTTGTCTGCCAAGTTCTTCATCAGACCTAACCCATCCCACAATTCTGCGTAACATGCGTCGCCTCAACGCATCCAATTTCAGTGTGCCTCTCTTCGTCACAGGCGCGGATGCCAAACCAAAGAGAACGGTAGGTGTAATGGTGGCTTCAAATAAGTTCACCCACAATTGTAAAGATATGTGTTGGCTCAACAAGGTGTATGCATGCTGGCAAAATTTTCCCCGGCAGACTTTGTGTCTATGGGCAACTTCCATGTGGCCTCGGTTGTGCAAATTGCTTGTCAAAACATTCCGAAAGTTTTCCTGGCGCCATCACCAACCAAAGTTTCCAAGAAAGCATCGTCCACTTGAATCACGGTCGGGGTTCGTAATGCGCATGTTGTCAGGATGTTTGTTTTTTTCCGTGTTCAAAGTCAATCCGATGTGTGCGAGTTCTTTGATTAAGAATTCTGTCAATCATTTTATCAAAAAGATCACATCGTCCGCGTATCGGATGTTGGTCAGCCACCTGAACCCATTAACATCAAAACCATGCGTTTGCAACCGGTGTTTCCATCTGCCCATTAGCAACCTCCAAGCCACAGTTGGAAAGCAATGGGCTCATGATGTCGCCTTGTCTCACCCCATGTTGAATAGCAAACCGCTTGCCACCCTTGATCCAACCAGTCTGTTTTCGATAAAGTTCTGCAATTAGCTACAGGCTACAGGTAGCGACCCGGCACACCATGAGCAGACATTGTGATGAACACAGCGACATGCCAATTCTGTCAAGGCCTTTTTCAAGTGCAGGCTTGCACGCCATAAGTCACAATTCAATTCCAAGGACTTGCTGATTAGTGTTTCCATTGTGACAAAATCATTATCAACACCAGAATTAGGTTTAAATCCTGTTTGGCCGTGTGGTTGCTGAGAATGCAAGTGGTTTCCCAATCGCAAACACGAAAAATTCGAAACAAATTTCTAGTGTATCTGAAGGATCGCAATCGGCCTCCAATTGTGCAGTGGCGTTCTCATTTTGTCGACGCGCTGGTCCACTCGCTTTCCCCATTTTCCTGTGCGGCTCGTCGCCCGACATAGGATTGGCACAGGCTGGCTTCCTGCAGGGTCAGCTATATACGCAGGCCGTGGCGCCTACGTAAAAAACACGCGACCCAAACACACAAGAGACAAGCGAAGTTTAATTTGTGTTTAATTTTTGCGGTTCACTGCACAATCGCAAACTTAGTGGTAGTCATCATGATGGTGAGGGTGATGGTTGTGCATTTGTATGTGTTGTGCAGCCGGGCTCCGGTTGTCCGGATGCGATTCTGAGATGGCAAGCCGATGTGTGGAGCAAAGTTATGTTTTGCAACTTTGAACCTTGTCAGCGTCCAGCCAAGGTGAATGCAGATCATGGCCATCGTCAAAGGCCCTGGTTGATGTGAGATCCCACAATGTGAGGCATTGTTTTGGTGCTGGCTGAGGCCTCGAAGAGTATTATCACCAACCGTCACCTTCATAAATCCAATCTGGGACGGACATTCTGGCCAGAGGTGCCGGCATCTTACCATCGCTCTTAGGTTTTCCACTGCTAGTAGGTTGGAGGCCATCGCTTTTAGGTTGGATCCCATCGCTCTTAGGTTGGGTGCCATCGCTAGTAGGTTGGAGGCTGCTTTTAAGTTGGATGCCATTGCTCTTAGGTTGGATGCCATCGCTAGTAGGTTGGAGGCCATCACTCTTTGGTTGGATGCCATCGCTCTTAGGTTGGATGCCATCGCTAGTAGGTTG